AATTTAACCAAAAAATACAAAAAATTCTTTTTTTTTTACTTTTATGTAAATAACTTTTTTCTGAGCAGAGGTAGGTAGAGGCACTGCTTCATAGAAAAAATATAAAATTTCCTACAAAATGATGGGTTATAAAAGTTTTTTCGATGAAAATAGACTGCGCTATGGTCGTTCAAACTTTGCCATTTTTTTCGGTTTTTACTGAATTTATGACAATATTGATTTAAAAGTTTATTTTGAATATGCAATTGATTTTTAATCGATAAAGACATTTTAAATTAATTCATCAATAATAAATAAATGTTATACGAACGTCTATAGTTTTTATTTTTTTAAACAAATTAACAAATATTAATTTATAAAAATTTCTATTTGTTCAACTAAAATATACGTATTGTCAATTTTGACAATGCTCAACAAACAGAGGTATCAGAAGACGATGTTCTTCAAGAAGTCGACGAAGAAATTGATATGCAGTTTGATAATATCATTGAAAAAATATGATAATTAAAATTATGAAATGTAAAAAATTTAATTTAAGTTTAATAAAATGTTTTTTACATAAACTAATTTTATTATTTAAAATCTTTGCATTAAGTATTTTTTATATTCACAAAACAGCAATTTTTAAGAAAAAATAGTTATTAATTTGTTTAATATATATACATAAAACCATATAACTTTTATTTATTATTGATAAATTTATTTAACATACGTCTTTATTAAATAAAAATGAATTACATACTTAAAAATAAGTGTTAAAACAATACTGTTATAAATTCAGTAAAAACCGAAAAAAGGCATAGTTTGAACGATCGAAAAAACTTTTATAACCCATCATTTTATAGGAAAAGTTATTTGCATAAAAGCAAAAAAAAATTAATTTTTTTGCATTATTTGTTAAATTGTTTTTAATATATTTTGCAGTAAATAAATTTTTTTAATTTTTTAAATAAGCTATTTCGATAGAAAATCTCATTATCCACAAAATTTTTCCTACGCAATACCCTCAAATTTTGCTTCGTTTTCAAGATATACTCAAAAAACCGTAAGGGTTACATTTTCACCCCTATCTCCAATTTCCACCCTCTAATTTAATAGCACTCCGCGGTTTTTTCTTTCTGAGTAACCGATTCATGCAATAAAAACCCATCAACGTTGTAGTTCCATACCATATGACATAATCAATAGCGAGCCTACCTGTAACCGCCACTGTGAAAGAGCATGTCAGATGTATTTGTATGAATATCCTGGAAAAAAATTAAATCGAAATTTGTTTAAATACACGGGAATAAAACTCTAATAATGTTTTATTTTAATGCGTGGTTGTAATAGTTTAAATAACTAGATGGATTTCACAGGGTCGAACGACACTTACAGTGTACGATAATTCAAGAAACAATAATCTAAAAAAAAAAAACAAATAAATTTGGAACGAATACGAGACAAAACGTCTGAATCTGGTTCGAGCTGAGGCAGTACAGTATTGGGGGCTTGCAAAAAATGTAATAAAATTTACAGGGTCGTATTTAATAAAATGAAGTTGATGATGGTCCTGGAGAGACGAAAGGTTACATATAAAAATTGATTATGCCATTCGATAGAGGGCAAAAAGTTGCCATGAGAAAATGTTCTTCTTTTTTCAATACCACCCGAAACAAGACTGAAATGAAAGAAAAATAGGCATAATGTTGGTCTCCTGATTATGCAACTTTGCTCCCATTTAAGCTACTTCGTATCACTTACCGTTTTCGATACCCCTGTAGTGAAGCGAATTTGTAACAGCCTGTAGAATTTACTGTACAGAATTTACCATACAGGGCGTAGCCTTAAGTTGGGGTCTGTTTCTTTAAGGTAAATAGTCATTAGTTCGTTAAACTGCACATAAACTCTTGTCTACGCCGTTACTGGGCATCTCCTGAGCTCGATTGTATGCGCGCGCTTGTCAGTGTTACCTGTTGTTATTTTTTTAAGCCAACAGTATATAACTAAGGGAGTGGCAGAGGGAGAAACTACAGAGGAAAATATTTTTTTAAAAGCAAATTGTTTCTGTATAACTTTGCGACATGTTAATTTGAAGTAATTATATTTTGATAATGCGGAGGCGCCCATCATAAAAATAATTCGAGTGTTTTTATAAAATTTATGTTGTTTTGCGTAAATTATTAAATATTAACTAATATTGGTGTAAGGATAAAATACTAATTTGTTTTATAACAACTGTTCAAATTGGTAGAAATTACTACAATGTGTTTTTTTAAGTAAAGGAAAAATAACAACGACTTTGGAAAATATACATATATTTTATTACATCTCTTTCATATAAATAAATTAATATACACTATAACGCATTCTTTATATATAATACTAAATATATCCACTTTTATTTGGCATGGAACAACTAATATCGTACAATCTGTAGTACCAAATATAAGAGTTATAACACAGAAAATATATAGACTTAAATATTTACCTGACAGTGTATACACTGTACTCCAAGATCGCTAATCGACTGGGTTCTTTAGAAAAATGTATGTTCTCTAATTTCTCCATATTTTTGGAATACAATGTACAACATTGTTGTGCAATTTGCTATTAAATAATCTAATAATATAGCAGAGGATTCACAAATTATATGTTTTATGTATGTACACGACATACAACGGACTTATTTATATTGCCATCGGCACTTTGGTATTATTTTTGGCATCGAATTTACATTATTTTGTACAATCTAAGGCACTGCATTGTATTTTTGTCCCGAGACAAAATATTGTTATCTCTCATAACGATCAGTACTTTAGGCGAGCGGTTCACCCCTAAAAAAAGGCATGAACCGACTAAATTTTTGAGACAAAACCCTACAGCATGAAACTTTTTTATTTCATAAAGTATATTTTTTCTGATAATTTACATATATATTTTTTATATTTTTCGGCGTGGTCAGTCAATTGTTATAAACAAAAAAGTTGTAAAAAAATACTCGCTTTGAAAACAGTGGTAAACATTATTTGTTCTTTGACAACATTTCGAAAAATGCTTCGTTTCCGAGATATTTACAATTTAATGTGAAAAAATTGGCGAAATCGACAAACTTTCGAATTTTTTTTCTCTACTGAACAGATGTTAATTCTAAAAAAGCATAATAATCGGCATATTTTTTAAGATATATTTTTTTGGTATGGGTCAATCATTTTATTGAAGCGAGTAAAAAAAAGTATTTTAAAGAAAATTATGATAACACTTCAAATTTAAATTTTCTTTTTACAATATCTTGGATTAGATTATATTTACAATAAATATTATTATTAAATAAATAAATAAACGATAACTTCATTTATTTATTAAATAGTAAAATAATTCCAAAATTGAAATTTTAATTAATATTTCGTTTAATAATTTTTATGACATTTTTGTAAATTAAAAAAAATTCAGTATAAAAGATGTATTTTTTTCTGGGGTTTAGGGCTATTCTATGAATTCGTAAATATGCACATTGTTATTTTTTCGTCGAGCTACCCCAATTTAAAAAAAAAGAAGTTTCTACGATGAATAGAAGCCGAGATGTTGCAAAATTTTACAGCGCGCATCAATTTGAACTTTTACGTTTCTCGCGCGTGCGACTCACTTGGACGAACTTCCCCCACCACCACGCCGGATATTTTACTTAGCAAGTACCTTCTCTTTAAAGGGCTCGTGAGTCATTAATTTTCCACATTTTTCAATGCAATTCACGGGAAATCGTAGTTTACGTCGTAAACTTTATTTTGTGAAAAATTCAAGTTGTAATGTTTATAAACAATTGCACTACGATTTTTTTTAATTCTTATTTTGGCTCCTGTTGGTCGTAGAGGGTGCTTTTTTTAAATTTGTATTTTTTTGCCAGCTATCCATTGAATCTATTTTCGGTGAGGTAGCATAAATAGCAACAATTTTATTCAAATTGTTTATAAGCGAAAAACGCACGGTTTTTTAATGCACAATTTGAGAATGTTAATGTCAAAAAAACGGTGATATTTTTTAATAGGTCGCTTAATTACGTCTTTAAGATTACAATGACGCTTTCAGAATCATGTTTGGTTGAAAATTAACGCCTGTACAGAGGCTTAAAGTTCATAACTTTTGGAGCCTCCCTTATAAACAAATTGAATTGTGCGAAAACTATTGCACCTACAGCGCCCACTTTTGGTACACTTTTAAAGTATGACAAAACCCTCAACTTGTCAGAGGTTTTATAAAATTTTAACAATAAATGCGATAGTTATAAACAAATTAAAAAATGGGCACTTTTCTTGTTTCTTTGCAATAACTTTTTTGTTTATTAATCGATTTTAATTTAACAAGTCTCATTTTGTAGATAATTTTACTCCCTACAAGCTGTCTGCGAGTCACTTTTCGCTAAAATTGCTGGTTTTCCCTGCAAAGTGAAAAAACTGTTTTCCTCACATATTTGTTTAAATAGAAAAGTTAGCTAATAAAATTTTTTGACTCACGAGGTGAGAGATGTCTTGTATTATGTTCCTTTAGACAATTGTACAATAATATCGCGGATAGGAATTTTTTGAGTTTCCCTTTTTTTTCGCTAATTTATATATGTTAAAGCAGAAGATCTGCCGATTATTATGCTTTTTTTAGAATTAAACTCTGTTCAGTAGTTTTTGAGAAAAAAATTCCGAAAGTTTGTCGATTTCGTCACTTTTTCACATTAAATTGTAAATATCTCAGAAACGAAGCATTTTTCGAATTTTTGTCAATAAGTATTTATTTTGGTCCATTTTACAATAAAAAACTGTTTTCAAAGCCATTCGGCGTAATTTTTTTTTACAACTTTTTTGTTTATGATAATTGACTGACCACGCCGAAAAATATAAAAGAAATATGTAAATTATCAGAAAAATACACTTTATAAAATAAAGAAAATTCCATGCAGTAGGTTTTTGTTTTAAAAATTTAGTCGGTTACCTTCATTTAGAAGCATCTTTTTAGGGGTGAACCGCTCGCCTTACAACAAAATATTCTCTCTTAAAATAGTACGTTTTGAATTCTTTAAAATATTCTAAGATCCCTAACCCGTCGCATTATCTATCTCGGACTAAAGTCGTACCCGTTTTGATGCAGGCCCGTACTTCTGAAATTCCCGTTATTCCCATAGAACCCGGGGTAGTTGCCGTACATAGTCCTACCGAAATTGGGACTCCTCATCCCCTTCTCGTTGCTGTACACCGGGTTGTAGTTGTGCAACAGGTTGTGGGAGTGGTAGACAGGGCCGTAGTTGCAGATTTCCGCGGAGTAAGGCTGTCCTATCGGGCTAAGTCCGGCCGTTAGTAAGTTCGACTGGAGGATAGAGGGCGCCGAGGATTGGGTGGTGTTCTGGTAGCGGTTCTGAAATATGGCGGAGGGGTGGGAGATGTGCGCGGCGTCCGGTTGGTGGGCCAGTTGGTCTTGGTGGTCGTCATCTGGAAAGAATAACACGCTGTGTGAGGAGGTTTTGGTGCTTGGGGGTTGGAGCCTTAAGAATTAACATTAGGGAGCGATTTTATTTATAAAAATACACGCAAAAAAAATTTTCTTGCTTCAAATGTACAACATTTGATTTTAAGGTATCGTACGTTTATATTTACGCAAGAAAATATTTTCTTCTTTCGAGAAAATTATTTATTTATTTAAATACTTTCTACCCAGAAATATAATCTCTTACTTTAAAAATAGACAGCATTTAAAAGAAATACTTAATACTTACGGTTAAACGAATTCTATTCTTAATTTTATGATCTACATAGATTTTATTATAGGTAAGTTTGGTTAAATTACAATATTTTGGACGCCTGCCCTGTGTTGGTTCTTATGCGGGACACCCTATATATGTATTAAAATTTAATATTAATGGTAGGAATTATTCAAGACAAATGTAGCATATTATAATCATGTTATCTTTTCTTGAAAGAAAATTGTAGGTCACAAATTATTGTTTATTAACTTAATAGTTGGCTATTCTTGTTTATTATGTAAGGAAAAAAAATCTGTCCTCTGGATCAAATAATAAAAAAGTCGTTTTTAATCTTTTAAGGAGGTATATCGGGGTCCGAGGGAAGTGAGGATCGCAGGGGGGTCCTATGCTTTTCTTTTGGGACTAAAACCCGCTACCAACTTCAAAAAATTAAATTCTATTGAAATTATTTGCGATAAACATTATCTATGTAGCAAAGAAATCTACTAAATATGCACATAACATACATATTAAAAATTGACAACATAAAAATGTCATATGTAAGTAGTTTTAAATTATATTTAATGAACGCATAAACACTATGTAGATGTGGCAACAGCGCTAATAATCTAGTGCAGTTGTACACACTGCGAACCTACAGACCTCGGACATCGGAGATATTGCGCGTCATATTCGGGTAAAGATGCGTACGCGTTCAAAAATATATTGTGTGTAAACTATGTAAAATTATATATAGCAAATATATCGTATTATCCTCGCGAAGATTTGTATCAATTATTTAAAATCCGTAAATCATGTGAACTGGTAAAACAACGAGAAAAAAATTATGTTAATTTAGTTCTAAAGAAATGAAATGACACTCGCGCCCATCTCTCGTCCAAGTCAAAGAAAATGTTGGATGCAATTTTGACGGTTATGTGATAGAAATTACATTATTACTCACTGTTCGTGTTTTTCAACTCTATTTTAGTAATGTTACAAAAGTTTTGCAAATATAACTCATTTTTTAGATATAAAGTTAGCTGAGAAATATTTATGTTCCTTTGTTATTCTGTACAAATGCTTTTATCTCAAGTATTACTAATTGTATTAATCAAGTAAAGAAAACTTTATGTAACCCTAAATATTGCTGGGTAATGATTACGATGTTTTTATAAACTATTAAATATATTAAAAGGATTTATCAACTGTATTTCTTTATTCCAATAAATATATCACAGCTTTCTAGTCTTTTTTAATTAATCTAGTTTTTTAAAAACATTACAAAAAATCATCTGTTGTGGATAATTTATTGTTAACAATGTACATGGGATTTAGGAAAAATGTATGTTTGAAATCAATTTCGTTTTTATCAAGTCTTTCAAATGTATTCCCTCCTTGCTGTCAGCTGATTGCGACGTTGCCACATTAATCCTCAAGTCGGACAGAAATGCAATTATGGGTTTCTGTTTCTAATTAATACAGCGGTACTATGTTCAAAACTTACATTAGTTTTACATCAAAAATAAGATAATACTGTGTACTATCTATGGAAAAGTTTTGTTTCACAATTTCTATATTTTTTTCTCAGTTATTAGCCGCACCGTCCATCTTCGCCATATAAAACTATGTTAAAATGAACAACTTTCAACAACAAGATCTTAAAATCTAAATTCAAAAAAATCTCAAAAAAAAATGATGCACAGAGGGAGCACTGGGTAAGACGCTATATAAATTTCAAGTACATCTGTGCATTTTAGTAAACCCGATATACCTCCTCAACTATTGAAAATATCGAAAAAATTAAAAGCAGCGTTACCTTCGCTTTCATATGAACTCTCTAGCCAATAAAACCGCAGATATTTCCCTGAGAATCCTTTTTTTATATGCAGTTTTTCGAAAAAGTACGCAACTTAATGACAGTTTATGAAAACAAATTACAAAAAGGTTATCTTGTTTCAAGTAGATAACATTATTACTTTTAAATTTTACAGTATTAGTCCCGCCCACGGAGTTGTTAATAACATAATAATAATAATAATAATAATAAATATGTGGTTATGTAACTGTTAATATTGAGTTTTTGAAACAGAGTCATTGAAAGGTACACCATTAACCATCTACTATTTGTTTTGCACTCATTTCCTGTGCATAGTTGCTACAATCTTAAAAATCATTTAGAATTAACAAAATTCGAGGTGGGCCTAAGTTTGACCCTTGAGGTACTCCGCAAGTTGTTGTAGCAGAATTTATAAATTTGTAAAAACAAAATCTTTGTATTATGACACATCAATTCTCGACCTATCGGCATTATTTATAAGTAAATATATACCCGATCATTTTCCCGCGAATCCCGGCAAATGTGTTCATTTAGGACTAACAAAATTCGAGGTGGGCCTAAGTTTGACCCTTGAGGTACTCCGCAAGTTGATGTAGCAGAACTTACAAATTTATAAAAACAAAATCTTTGTATTATGACACATCAATTCTCGACCTATCGGCATTGTTTATAAGTAAATATCTACCCGATCATTTTCCCGCGAATCCCGGCAAATGTGTTTCGAAGAACTCATCGTCAGGGTAATAATACAGAGGCCGGCGTTCGCGATTAATAGTAGCGCTTTTTTCTCAATTAGTGCCAATATGGGATATAAAAGTTAAATATAACATAAACATTTATCCAATCTATCCGGATCCGGGCAATAACATCCTTATTTTATTGTATATACATTCCCAATTAGTAGGATGAAACGCGACATCGGGTGTAAACATCGGAAAGCTCTGCGGTTTCGTCGGGTCTGGGGAATTTTTCGGTTACACTTGTTCCTTGATCCACAGCAGCGGCTTCTGGAATTGGTGAATGGAAGGCACTTGTCGAAAGGTTACAGAAAATAGTATTAATTGAAAAAAAACGCGCGAAGTCCAGTAATTTTGTGTGAGAAACGCTGTTCGGGATAAAAACCGTAACTTTTTAGTCTCTCACATGAGAGGAAATATGAATCGTGTTTAGTGACTGAAAGACGTGATATGATACTTTTTTATAGTCCGATACAATCTCGTATACTTTATATTCTACACTTTGTTTAATATAGTTTTCATATAATACAAATTTCACTATAAGTTTGTAGTCCGTCATTAATACAAAAACCAGAATAATAAGGGCCCTGATACGGAACCTTGTGGCACTCCTTATGTTGGAATATATCGAGATGATTTTCCTGTTTTACCTGAGCCATAGAGTATGACTAGCAGCTTCTATGTTTAGTGATGACATTCGAATAATATTAGTCGTCAACCATTTCTTGGGAACATTTGCACTATCGAAAATAAAAGCTAAAAGCCGTTTATGCAATAAACAATGACGTTTTGCATTTGTAGCTTAAGTAACTACTATTTTCATAAAAATTAATGCGATTGTGTATGTGGATCTTGAGAATCGAAAATGGCACTTATTGACTATGTAACATAATATACTACTTTTCATCCACTTATCCAACCATTTGTGCAGCTTGTCATATACTCGTCCCCGCAGTGTTGCCAGATCAGAAAAAAGTCCCTAGTTCTAGGGAATATTTGAATAGAACTATTCTACACAAAGTACCCTTTATTTTTTATGTAGAATCCGAAAAAAATATAAAAAATGTGTGTTTCCATTTAAAAAACCAAAGTTGGTGTCTGGCTGAAAAGTGGAACACCCTATATAGTTGAATTTGTACATTTGTACATTTCGAGTAATGTGGCAACACAGTAAAAAGAAAAATCCATATATTAAGATATGATTTTAGCCTATACACGGTGTTAAGAAAAGAGTGTAAAATATTTAAGGAGGTAATAGTATGAACCAAAATAAGCAGAAAAGTCTCAATAAACATGGGTCCGCAAAGTAACGGTTGCGGAGATATGGAATGTTTTATGTTTTTTAGCCCCTTTTTTTATTTTGCAAAAACGTTGTGTATTTTCTTATAATAGTTGGTTGATGTTTAGTGAAATAAACAGTACGTATTTGACAGTTGTTCTCAGTGCACAAGTTTTCTTTCGCTATGGCTGGTTACTCTAACGCAGAATTAACAGACATGCATTTCATGTATGGTCGTGCTAATGGGAACGCCACCGAAGCGCGACGTCTTTATGTTGACGCTTATCCAAATCGCCAGATTCCTTCACAACGCATGTTTGGAAGAATTCACCAAAGATTGCGTGATACCGGTTCCTTGAGCAAACAGTGCCATTTATCCGGAAGACCAAGGTCGGTATCCACTCCTAGAGCAGAAGAAGAAATTCTAGCACTGGTAGAGCAGAATCCAGGTACGAGTGTGCGGAGAATATCAGCCGAGGTAGGAATTAGTGGTCCTCTTGTTTGGAGAATCCTTCACGAGCAACTGCTTTATCCATACCATGTGCAACGAGTACAGGCCTTAAATCCAATAAATGATCATCAAGCACGTTTGGTTTTTTGCCGCTGGTTTCTACGTCATGATGCTGAAGACCCTCGTTTTCTTGCAAACATTCTTTTTACTGATGAGGCCGGGTTCACAAGAAATGGAGTGTTTAATTTTCACAATACGCATATTTGGGCCGACGAAAATCCTCATGCTCTAATAGAATCTGGACATCAGGCACGTTTTTCATTAAACATTTGGATGGGTATTGTAGGTGACAGGTTTCTAGGTCCTGTTGTTTTACCAAACCGATTAACAGGCGCTGCTTACCTCAACTTTCTGCAGAACACACTGTATGAGTTTTTGGAAGACATTCCTTTGAATCAGAGGCAACAAATGTGGTTCCAGCATGATGGTGCTCCAGCTCATTTTTCCATGGCCGTTAGAGAGCATTTACACCAAACTTTTCCACATAGATGGGTAGGAAGGGCCGGACCTGTTTTATGGCCTCCAAGATCGCCTGATCTGAACCCTCTAGATTTCTTTGTTTGGGGATATTTGAAGACATTAGTGTATGGTACTCCTGTAAATAGCCTGGAAGAGCTGCAGCTACGGATTAATCAAAAGTGTCAAGAAATCCAAACCAAGGAGGGTGTTTTCGAAAGAGTTCGAATATCGTTGAGACGAAGATGTCGTGCCTGCTTGGAAATGGACGGAGGGCACTTTGAACATCTTCTGTAACTTTGTTTTTTGTTTGTTAAAAGCTTCCTTTGTCGGTTTATTCCTAATAAAATAAAATGTTTGAAAAACGAATAGTGGTCCATATCTCCGCAACCGTTACTTTGCGGACCCATGTTTATTAAGACTTTTCTGCTTATTTTGGTTCATACTATTACCTCCTGAAATATTTTACACTCTTTTTTTAACACCCTGTATAACACCTATTTTTATATTTATTCAGTTTTTGAGCATAAGGGGTGGTTTTCATCCCCTAAAAATAAGAAGCGCATATCAAGCATATATAACTTTTCATCTACAGGGTGAAATAAGCTTAATTCCAAATTTTCATGAAAATTTACCCTATTTTTCTCTTGGTTTCCTGGACTAAAATCTTGAACCCAAATAGTCTTTTTAAAAAAAAATCTAGGATAAACCAAGGACTTTTATGAGTTTTGTTTTTAAGAAAATATAGGAATTTTTCAGAACATAACGTAGGACCTTTCTTCGAGCACTTGGCAACACCGTCGCGGATAACGGGCAATCCACTACAAAAAAAAATCGCGGTCCGCTCTCACTAATTGAGTCACATCATTTATTTATCCTGCGTTTGTAGCACGTCGATGTTAAACACAATTACAGAGTGTTTACGAAAACGGGTCGTAAAACGGTGAAGGGTTCGACTTTTAGGATTCGGTAAACAGTTTACTAAGTACCGAGTCTGCTGGGTAGTAAAATGGATTTTGTTTATAATTTCGGAGCACATGGCCGCTTACGGAGTCCATAAATTATCGTTATACACCACGAAATGCGCCCGCTGTTATGTTAAACAAGTCACAAAAGTCGTTCCTCTCTCCACCCGACAGAATATAGTTAAATGTTTCTAATCGTAAATTAGACGAGCGTAAACTCAGAATCCAATAAAAGCGTACTTATTTCAATATCGCCGGCCGATACATGTGTTAGTCACTGTTTTACAACGTAAACAGCTTGTTTTACTTTATATTTTAATTCGTATTATAAATTCCTGTTTTTGTTTGGAGCAGGAAACGTATTTTAAATATTTGAGCGATCGGGGCCCGCGCGCCGCCCTCCGCTCTGTATATTTGTGTTCTTAATTTAAAATGCGTGTCCCAAAATATATACATGAAGTTGATAGTTTCGGTATAACTTTGCCGGCTATTCCCGGTGCCGCATAATCTCGTATAACGTGCGGTTTTCGTATTAAAAGCGAAGCTGCATGTCATAAGTCTTCCTACTTTGTTAAAATATGACAACAGAGACAGAATATTAATAATTTATCCACGTTCGTTTCAAAAGTGATAATTTTTTTACATAATTTGCAATATAAAAACCTCTATTTACTATTTAAGTGTGAACTAGTTAAAACAACACTCTTAATTCACGAAATGCGTAAAATTCATATAAAGTGTCTTTTCGCATTTTTTTTGTATTAAAAGTGCTGTTTTAACCTTTATTTTTGTATATTAAATCGTACATTTTCTCTAACGGTTCAATTAACTTTTAATTTCTAAGCGATATATGCACTTTAAATCGTTACCATTATAATTTTACATATCATACACACTTTGTACTTTTTAAATGCCAATCTGACAGCTACAGGTTAAAACAATACTTTTAATTCACGAAGTGCGTAAAATGTATATATAGTGTCTTTTCGCATTTTTTGTATTAAAAGTGCTGTTTTAACCTTAATTTTTGTCTATTAAAGACGTAAATTTTCTCTAACGGTTCAATTAACTTTTAATTCCTAAACGATATTTGCGAATGCACTTTAAATCGTTACCATTATATTTATATATCATACACACTTTATACTTTTTAAATATGAATCTGACAACAACTAAAGAGGTTAAAACAACACTTTTAAATCATGCAGTGCGTAGAATCTATATAAAGTGCCATTTTACAGTTTTTGTATTAAAAGTGCTGTTTAACCTATATTTTCGTTTAGAGTAAATTTTCTCTAACGGTTCAATTAACTTTTAATTCCTAAGCGATAATGGCAAATACACTTTAAATTGTGACCATTATAATTTTATATATCATGCACACTTTTATACTTTTTAAAAGTGCACCTGACAGCTAGAGGTTAAAGCAGCACTTTTAATTCATGAAGTGCATAGAATCCGTATAAAGTCTTTTCGCATTTTTTGTATTAAAAGTACTATTTTAACTTATATTTTCGTCTAAAGCACTTTAAACAGATAAAGTACTTATAAAGTGTCTTCTCGGACATTGTCTGTTGTAACCTATATCTCCGTCTAAAAAACCGTCACTTTTCTCTAATGGTTAAATAAAAATAGACGAAATAGGTACTTATAAACGAACTTTAAATTACTATTATAATTTTTCATACCATACATACTCTGTAATTAATAAGTAGAATTTTTCTCTTCGCAAATAAAGAATAAAGTAGCACTTCATTAACTGATTGAGTGTACATAAAATTCATATAAAGTGTCTTTCTGAACTTTCTGTTTTAACCTTTATTTCTGGGGAGAAAAGCATCAATTTTACTTTCAGTTCATTACGCATTAAATAAAAAATATAGAGGAATTGAGTATTTACAAATGCACTTTAAATCGGTGCTACAAATATTTTTCTACTCATTACACACAGTTTTTAACGGTATGTTTAGGTGTCACCAATTTACACGAATTCGCCTTCACAGAGCCTAGTTCGAGAACAACAAGGACAGCTCAAAGATTTCTAGCTAAGTCTAGGAAAGTGCATAATAACAACTCGAAAAGCCATGACACTTTAAAAACACATTTAATTTTTTTTATTGAATCCCTCATTACTTAAAAGTAAATTTAACAGCTAATGATTAAAAGTGACATTTTTCTCTCCAAAAATAAAACTAAAACATCAACATCACAATCATTAAATGTGCAAAATCTATTTAAAGTGCCTTTCTGCACTTTATCCGTTAAAAGTAATGTTCGAATCATATTTGTGGGAAGAAAAACATTGATCTTATTGCCTAAATTGACCTGTAATCCGTAAGAGTTTAACTGAAAAAATAGTGCACTTTAAATTGTTCCCTTGTAGTTTTACACACATTATTTGTTTTTTATTCAGTCCCTTATGGACTGCAAGTGAAAATAAACACTAGACGTTAAAAGTGACATGCAAAGAGCACTTTTAATTTACAGAATATGCAGAGTTCGTATAAAGTGTCTTTTCTCGTTTTGTGGATTAAAAGTTGTTTTAATCTCTAGTTTCAAGGGTAAGGTATCACTTTTAATCCTTGGGGGATTAAATTTATCTTCAAAAATATATGGTTTTTATTAGATATGTTTTGTCAGTACCAATTTTTGAAAAGATACATGACTAGTTTCCACATATTCGTAAAAAGTGATCAAAATACCTAAGTCAAAAATTGTTTTATATTTTCTCTCACCTTTTGTACCCAGACTATTTGGCGTAGACCTAGACGTGGTTCTCGTCCTTTGGGACTGGCTTGCCTGACTTACAACTTCGGCACCGCTGAAAAAAAAAGAAAGTATTTTTAAACATTAGAACAAGTTGATTAAAAGCAAATTTAATCACTTGGGGATTAAGACTGACACTTTATTCTTTGACATTGAATTAAAACAGCACTTTAAACACGAAGTGACAAAATATCGAAAGTCAAGCACTTTTACATCTAATTTTCTGTCAAAATTTGCTGTTTTTATTTTTGTTAATATTAATAGAAAAATGTCGGTTAATTTTTTCGTATCGCGATCCTGAGTAGACCCATTTGGAGATCCGACATTCCGTCATTCACCATTCCTTCCAATTTGTTTACAAATTAACGATTTATCCAGATTCGACTTTCAAATTAATCACACTTAAATTAATGAGTTTCCCGAACGTAAAAAATTAGACAAATCCCCGTTTGTTATTTAGACGTCTATTACACGTCTCGAAATAATAAAGCATTGTTCGAGTAGCCAAGTGGATTTTGATGAAGATTGATCGACTGTCACAATATTATTTATAGCCCTGGATTCTGTGTAAAACACGAAATTTCAAAAATAGCTCGAATTTCCTGCGGCTAGGCTGTACAGATTTGTTACATGTTTATTTATTTTTTTTTCTAGATCGAGTCCATGCCTTAGACGTCCGTTATCGTTTCCAGAAAAAGGTAAGTTCCCGTTAAATTTTTTTTAAACGTAATTGTAATAACAAATGCAACAAAACGTGGTCGGTATTTTACAATAAGTTTAATGTTAGTAATTGTAGTTTTGTAACTATAAAAATTAAAATTATAATAATATAATTACACAATACTTGGTTTTCGGCAGTTAATTCTTTTTGTTTCTAAACATCAAAATCGGCCTTTGACTTTAGTTTACGATGCTCCCTTTCTAAATCATATTATCAAATAGAAGGCACTGGAAACACAATTGTGCACACCGCTGTCTGTCACATATCGGTTTGTTTATAATTGCTGTTACCTTTCAACTTATAACAAAATTAATTTTAATTATTTAGTCGATATACTGCAGGTTTATTATGAATGTAGACAAAACAGTGTAGTGACATATTATAGCATTTATATCGACAATTCTAATAGAATTTTTCCAAACAGAAGAAAGTTTAGTAAACTTGAAGCAAATTTAAGACAGTTAAAATGTAGGAAAATTATGTATGTAACAATAATTTAGTAATATTAATAAACAAAAAATTGTACAATACAATATTATATGCAAACAAAAAATGAATAGTGAAATTTAAAAGTACTGTTGAAATTGTTGTCTATTTCTTTCGTTCTCTGGAATATTATTTATTACGGTACTAATTATGACTGTCAACTGATCAATGTTATTTGGTGGTGTTAGATAAACTTCGATTTCTGTGAAACTCCAGAAAAGGAAATCCAATGGATTAAGATCTGGGGATCGTGATGGCCAATGTAAGGGTCCTCTTGTACCAATCCAGCGATCTTCAAAGGTAGCATTTAAATAATTTTATGGGCATTTGTTGAGGTGCACGGTCTTGTTAGAAAATGATATGGACATACTCATTAACTGTTAATTCTTCCAAATGCTCTTGTAACTGATCTATCAACGTTACAACGTTCACCAGTTAAAGAACTATCAAAGAAGTATGACCTTAATATTTTTGAACCACACATTAATATGAAATCGATTTTGAAAATTTCTTTCTCTTATAATTCTAGGATTATCATGGTTCCAATGGTATGATGTTTTACGGTTAGACTTGCCGTTGTTGGAAAAATTACTTTTGTCTGTCCGTAAAATTTTTGGAAAGTTGGAATTATTATTTGCATTATTTATGTTTATGTATAATTTTATACACAAAGCACTCTGTTAAATTATGATTCCTGGGTAATTCCCATATGAAAGTATTCTGGTTTTCTTGCACACTTAATAGTAAATCTAATTCTTGATTTTCATTGCAAGCATATCCAAAAGAAACTCTTTTCTTCTTCAGCGTTCCACACTGTCTTAGATTCCCTTCAAGTTTACTAAAGTTTTTTCTGTTAGGGGAAATTCTATTAGGATAACGTTGTCGATATAATTGTAAAGCTGCAACACTGTTTTTTTTTACATTCATAATAAACCTGCAGCACATCAACTTCTTCATTAAAATCATTCATTTTGTTATTAGTTAAACTTGAAAGGTGACAACAATTACAAACAAACCGATATATGACAGATAAGATAGCGGTATGCAAAATTGTTTTTCCACTGCCCCACCGCTTTCTATTTGATATGATTTAGAAAGCGAGCAGCGTAAACTTTTCTCAAAAATTTCGTTATGCAAAGGCATACAAAGAAAGTAAAAAAATCAATCAAAACGTGCAAGAAACTATTTTCATTATAAATCGGTGAAATTTGAGATACTTGGTGATTATGTAACGCCCGTTAAGAATAACTACAATTTTAATTAAAAATATCTCTGTGATTTTTCGAAAAATGAATCGTCTTCATTGCGTGAAAGAGTACATCTATAACGCTGTGTATAAAAAAATATTCATTCGAATCCCGTCTCTGACAAATGTTTTTGACGAGCATTCATATTTTTATTGGACCACTCTGTATCATCGACGGTCTATAAGCAGCGCAGATGCATAACCTTGTTATTCTTTTCGGAAGCGTTACACAAATTTATTAGCCGTAGCGGCTTACTAAACAAAAATATTGTGACTTCGCATCACGGTATCTAAAAATATTGCGGCTTCCATTAACCAATAATATTAAATTTCGAAAATCTCCCCCAAGTGACAAATTAAACAGTCGCCCGCTTAACTAATTGCTTTAGGCCTGCTACTAATTCATATCACGAAAAAATTATGACAGGGCTGGGTCACGATTTAAGGCTATCGTCTAGAATACGAGGGGTAGTAGAGAAAACATAAAAAAATCTCGCAGAGTAGTTAATATAATCAATTCTCCAAATTAATAATTTTAATTCTTTTAAATTATCACGATTATATTTTTTAATAAAAAAAAATTCTTATTATAGTTGGTTTACAAATGCTGTGGCAAGGTAATTAAAAAAAAAGAGAAATCACCTACGCCTCTATGTTCCCAAGATACCTTTGTTTTGTAACGTTAATTCTTAATTAACTATTGGACGTATCGGACCGGAATTTTAGAGACAATTAAAGAAATAGTTAAGCTTTAGATCTGCTCTGTTTAATGTAAAAAGAGTGAATTCCCGAGCGGCTTTTGCCTGACTCCGGGATAATTTGTTTATAACGTTGTTTTGCACGTCCTCCTTTATTAGTTATAAAGGCTAACTTACATTTTTTTTCGACAGCGATGAAGCAGTTTTACATAAGAAATCTAGATATTGCTAGATATCTAGATATTAATATTCATATTCCATATGAATATTCCATATTCATATGGAAGTTCATAAAAAATTGTTAAAAATTTTACTATCCAATTTCATTATATTACAAATTTTTATTTTTTAATATTCAAGTAAAAAAAATTCAAAGAAAGAAAGAAAACAGATTTTTCTGGAAAATATTAAAACGATACGTTTGATGCTCATAAATATTCAAACCTCAGTAAACTTTATAAGATTTTCCAAGAATTTTCCACAATTTTCTTTTCTCTAATTCACGTTTGTTTTTTAAAAATAAACTGACCATTATTTAGTATCCGAAACGTTAATTTTTGCATAATCTATACTTCATTTAAATAATATACTGGAAAACTATTGGAAAAATCTAAAATTTTCATATGAGCAGTTTTGTTAAAAATTTAATTTTGAACTTTTATTTGAAACTTTTTTTGAAAAAAATGCATCTTCATGGAAATTTTGGCAGTTTTTCAAAACGTACACTCTTCTATAAAAAAAATCGCATTTTTTGCATATTTTCCTGGACTACTTATGATTACGTTTCACTTATGGAGCAAAATTCCATGAATCAAACTGAAAAATTACTGCATATATTAACATAATATCATGTTTTATTTATAAATATTCACTAATTCCTAAAAATTCAGTGAAAATAAACAAAGCTAAAAAAATATTTCACTCCTGCAAATTCTCATATTTTTATTAAATTGATAAAATTTCAAGTACCTAAATTAATGGGTCGATTCTGCGTTTTTCTATAAATTTATAATTCTACACTAATATAAAAAAAATTATAAAGGGTCAAAAGAATTTCCGAAATTTTTCCGTGATTTTTGACACTGTTTTAGGTCAAAAATGGTTGTATCGGGAATTAAAAAAAGCATTTTGAAGCTCTAAGATTCTAGTTTTCGGTCTAATTTTTTTAAGAGCTACGGTTATCATGCAATTCTAAGAAATATCTCGACAAAATTTTTTTTTTTCAGCTGTCATTGCATGGACCAGATAGCTTATTTATTCAGCTTCAATTTCCTTTTTTTAAATTTCGACACGACCATTTTTCATCGAAATATCGGACTTAATCGATATCTCTGCGACAAATGGTCGAACAGAAAATTGAAGGGCAGTTTCGAAAATGGAATAAATTTCCTGCCGCAACTTTTCGGATTTTTTTTTCATCTTTTACACGAATTTTAAAAAACAGGAGAAAACGGGTAATTTATGGTTTTTTAGAAAATTGACAGCTAAATTGGAAATATTCACGAAATGACTAATATTAAGCATGACTTTTACAGTTCGATATGTACCCAGAAGAACCCTGTGAGGTTTCATCTCGATCTAGCGTACCGTTTTTTGTATGAAACAGTAAAACTTTTGAAAAAAAATGAAGGGTCACGTTTTTAAGAAGCTTAAACACTTAATAATTGAAATGAAAAAAATTTTTTTTGAGATTTTCTCACATTTTTACTGCAAATAACGTTTAAATTGATGAAAAAAAAAACACCTTTTTTAACATTTTCTTCAGAGAAGAAAAAGGGTAGTTTTGAAAAAACTGTCAAGTTTTATGATCTAATTCGAGAATGGATTATTTGGGATGTTTAAGAAAATTTGATTTTTAACTAATTTTTCTTTCAATTATATCCCTC